AAATTTGACTTATAAAGTGTATATTATTTAAGAGAATATCTATTTAGGTATACCCAGAAAAAAAATCAGGTAGATATCATCAAAAACACGGAAGTTATAGATTTATGATATGAAAAGGAGCAAGGTTCCCATAGTGGGGCGAATCGGAGGACAACCGAGTCGTCCCTCCGTTGGCCTGGGAGCCCTGGCGCAATCTAGGGCGGCCGGGCAGCGTCGTGGTGAATGTTCACTGATCCCACGGCGCCGACTCAACCGGCGAGAGGGAAACCCGGGGGGGTTTTAGTGGGGTAGGCCTTTCAGTGTGGAGGGAGAGTCCCCACATAACCCCTGAGTCTCCCTGGGCTCAGGATAGCACAAGCCATCACAGAGAGGTCGTGTGCGGCGTTCTGCAGGGGTCTGTCTTAGGACCACTTCTTTGGAACCTCGCATACGATGCAGTGCTGAGGATCAAACTCCCCCGGGCGTGCTTGTGGTGTGTTACGCCGATGAAATGAAATATACATAATGAAACAAATACATAACATTGGAATTCTAGGCAATTGGGAGCTTTACTAGACACAAAAGTATAAGTCATACGGAATTTGAATCTTAAATGGTCGTAAGCAGCTCATCACATAATAAATAATTTGTTTAATAATATAAAACATGATCATGGCGAATTATTTTGTTTTATCGACGGTGCCTGATAGGTAACTTATCACAAAATCGAATTTCTTTCGTCAGAATTTCATTTTCTCCAAAAACAATTCAATTACCCCAAAAACGGTTCGACTTTTTTTCATTACATTTTAATGCGATGACAGTTTTGGTATAAATTTACAACACAGAAATGTTTTACAACCGAATTATCAAAATTCTGTAAATCATGTTTCTAGCTTGTGATAGGTAACCTGCCTTATACACTATAGTGTTTAAATTATTATTATTGAATAATTCCAATAACAATTGCAAACGTCATATCTACTACTTTTTGTTAATGACTTTTTTACGAAACATAATGAATTTATTAAAAAGAAACATCTAGGTTTTTTGTACTATCTGACACTTTTTAGATTTGTATTCGGTATTCAGTTCAAACGTGCAAACGTCCTCCCCGACGATTCGACTCTCTTTGGTTACCTCACAGAGTTATCACCATTTAGAGCGACCTATTTAATATTTTTTGTACGAAAGTAAAATCTGATATATTGTTGAAGTCATGGAAAAGTAGTTGTTGTTTATGATTTTAGTCATATAGGCCAAAGAGGTTGTTAGTATTTTACTAATAACTCTATATATAGGAAAACTAAAGTTTAATGAGATTCGAAAGCACGACTTTAATAATCAAAATTTGTTTCGATCAGAGGATAATATTAGAATAGATTTAATTACCATTCTGTATAAAATAACAGCCTAGTAAATATATAATGTAAATATAACATAATGCTATTAAAAATAAACAAGCTCAAATAGACAAGTAGAACAAATAGAAGAAGAATAAAATCAAAACAATTATTTTGTAACTTGTTTTAATCGTTTATTACTTTTAAAGCCCTAATCAAAATATATCATTATGTACTATACTAGACACATACTATATTCCATAAAGATATTGAAATATATAATACTATATGTGATATAATTTTTTTAGTTAATCGAAGTTTTACAGAAAAGAAAAAAATAATAAACTATGTCCGAAACATTTATGACAATGACATATTTCAAAAAACTAGATTGTCGTTATGAGCCTTAGAGGATATCTACGAAATAAACGTAGGTACCTACCTAAACCAAAAATGTCCACCACAAATGGCGGATTTAGTGTTGTACCATAATCATAGATAAGTCAATATCGATATGCAAATGTAAGGCTTGAGTATTGAAACTGTTTTTTATCTTTGCAAATTTGTAGAGTTTACTGTCATCAAAGTATGATTAATACTAGGCAAGTAATGAACCATTTTAATGAAAATTAAATATAAAATTATTTACCAATAAATGTAACGATGGAATTGCATTATCATGTAATCTATTTACACTCAAATTCTATTAAAATTTGACTTCAAAATAGAGCGAACGAAGATAGTATTTGATCCAATGTTTACTCGTATATTCGGCAGTCCTATAATTTCCAACCATTCTTTCTTTCTTTTTTCATTTGTTGGTGAACTTTAAAAATAATAATAATGTAATAATAAAAACCTCGTAGTGAATTGTTTTACTAACAAAATATCGATAATATGTCTGCTTACAAGAACAACACCATCTCAAAACAATCGTTATCACCAATCATCAAAATATACTAACAAACAGGCAATCTAAAGTAACCAAAGCAAAATTCAGCAAGGCTTATGGATAAACTACTTAAATGAGTCTAATTACATGAGATATTTGGGCTATTGTATGATTTATAGGCAGGAAAATAACACATGCCGGTGTAATGTAACATTCGGTTGATTTCTGATTATCTACTGCCGCACCCCTTAATACTGCAGCGACGCATTTTTATCAATACTTAATTGTTGTCATTGTCAATATTTTTGTTCTATTAATTACAATTCATGCGAATAATTCACTAAAACATTTGGCCAAACATTGGTTTTGATATTTGATGTACTTCCCTTTGACAACCGGAAACGGTTATCAAAGGGTACTACAAAAATGGCAAAATGAGGACAGTTGGCATTTAACGGTACATTAGACGGTACGTATTTTCGATTCCCGTGTTTGACATAAATCAATGTAGTGCTATCTGTCTCCTTTAGCTTACGACGTCACGCAGTAGTTAAACGAAGACAATAAAATGTTTATGTTTTCACCGTCTAAATGCATCATATACATATAACGTCTGATTTATATATGTCAATATAACATGTCCTTTGGTTTCCATAGTCTAAGTTATGAGCTAATCCACTTCGAGTTGTCGGAATGATCCTTCAACGCCAAACATTTCTTCACTTGTCTTTGGCTTTCCTGGCCTCTTAGATTCGTCTGTGCCGTATTTTTCTTCTTCATCCAGCCATTCGCTGTATTCTTCTATTTTCTTTACCCAGTAATCTGAAAAAGGGAAATGCTTCAGCAATAACGCAAGAATCATAAAGAATGTAGGCAAATTATTGATTATTCAAATTTGCTTTTATTTTCATTATGATTTCGAAACCAATATTCTTAACTGTTTGAAATTTATTTACCAGTTATTTCTTGTATAGTGCCTCCATTTCCTCCGTATTCCAAAGGCAGGATATCTTTAGACACATATTTATACAGTGGCTCGAAATCTTTCCCATGAACAAGGATCTAAGAAGTAAGATGTAACAATTATTATCTGACACTAACTAGTACAAATATTATTATTGTCAGCTGAATATTTCACATTACATACATTAGGAGTCATGCATACAGTGATTGTAAAAATGAGCTGTTCCTTATACTAATTGATCTTCCGTTTCGAAATGATCCTGTATAAAAAAAATTTAAATAAACATCGAAGAAAAATAACAATATTAAAATTTCTTACTCGACTCCGATTTTTTTCATTAAGGAACGTTTTTACAAGGTTGAAAATGGTCTCGATTGATGGAGGCATATGAAAATAATGGACTGCTTTCATCCTCATAGGCGCTGCATCCTAAATCAAAATAACGTATTTAGATTTATCATTGGTACCATATGATAGTACAAACATCAAGTAGGGCTAGCATGACAGGGCGTGACTTGAGCGAGTGTGACATAGAAACGCAAGATATTGCTGTTTTCTATGCGAGAATAGCAGTACCTCGCGGTTTATGTCGCTCTCGCGCAAGCCACGCCCTGTCATGCTAATCCTAACTGGTGTATGTCTGATAACCCTGTATATCTATGATGTTATTTCGCTTACCTGACCAGCAACAACCATTTTCTTCATCAGTAAAGGCGTCATTTGACTGAAGTGAGACATTGTTGCTCCCTTCATATCCATTACATTTACAATACCGTTCACTGTGAAAATATCGTCTTCCATGTACATTATCTGTAACAAATATCCGTATTTTTACTAAATTTTGGAACAACGGAAGTTTCTCCTAGGAAACATAGATAAATCCATGTTTTTAAAAGATTTCTTAAAAACTGACCTTTTGCAAAGTGTTTCCAACACTCATAATTTCAGGCATGGTAAACTGACCAGGAGTATGGGCCGCAACTCTGAATATCACTACTCTTGGATCCGTCAAATTGTTTGACTTTGGCAAAAACAAATTTACGCTAAAAACACAAAGGCAGTCTTAGTAATTAAGGTTTTCATGTTCCCATACAAAATGCAATCAGCCGATCGCAGTATTCAAATAGACAGTTGATTTTTATGTTTGTTTTTACACTATCAAATGGCGGGCCGAACAAGTTGTGCATCTGGTAGTAAGCAACACGCCTACCCATAACAGTGCCATTTAGACCTTTAAATTGAAAAGATCTTAGGCAGTGTTGGCTCTACCTATGATGCTGGGCACGGGCATAGGGTCTCAGGGAGCGCCGAGCACCACTCGCGACGACTCCAAAGAGCATGCATCGTTCGCGATGCAAGTGAAATATTTGGGTATTACTTTTCAACATCGTTTATAAGTGCATCGTTAGCACCGAAATCTTCAGGTCCTGAGGGCGCGCCTACTAGAGGGCGCCAGGGCTACACCTGGGCTCGACATGAACTAACGCCGACCCTGATCAGAGCAGCACTGCCACTGCACCCATCGCCCTGAGACATAAAGTTGAAAAATCCCATGAGCCTTTAGTTTCACCAACACCCTTATCCTTCAAGACCGGAACGCAGTAATGCTCACTGTACTGCTTGGTGACAGAAATAGGTGTGGTAGCAATACTTTCCTGAACGAACTCTTTCGCAAGGAGTTCTAGTGTTACTGAAAACTTCTGTTGTCTAATCAGAAATGGATTTCATGAGAAAAGTAGGAGGTAAACGAGCAGACGAACCACTTGATGGGATGTGGTTATAGTCGCCCATACACATCTGCAACATCAGATGAGCTGGCTATGCGTTGCCAGCTTTATGAGAACCCTGTTGACACGATCTTTGAAGAACCCCACGTCTTAGCCCAAAGGAAATATTTAAGGTTGTTCAATAACATTCATCCCAAAAAAAGTCTCAAGTGGCTTCAAAAAAGTCTTATCATATTTCTTTGTACCTATCCCTTTTACTGTAACAACTATGATTAAATACAAACCCCGTCTTAACGATTTCCATGAACTTAGGATGTCTATGGTTGATCGTCTGTAATTCCGGTACAAGTGTTTTTAGCGAATAATAAAGATCAATTTTCTCTTTCGCTCGTTCCAAGCTGAATTTGGTTCCTCGCAGAAAGGCAGCCAACCATTGGTCCTCTTGAAACATACAACAGTTAGAAAAATATCATCGATACAGTATTCAGCGACACTAGACAGGCTAAAAAGGTTAAAAACCAGTGGTCAAAATATTTAGTTTGTAAACATTTTCGCCACCATGTTGCACTTTTGAGTATCAGCTTTCAAACCATAATAATCTCTTCCGTCATGTTCTCTCCTCTGATTGACACTACACAAGAAGCAAAAGGTGTGTAAGTTCATAGTCCTATAAAGACTACTACTTTTATTACTTTTAAATCAAAGCTTCCTGTAAGGCGATGTTACCTGTTCTAGCTTTCAAATGCGGTTGTTTAGCGATCCATTCTTTTAGATGCTGTATGCTGTCTTCAAGTTTTTTCGGGTCTTCGAACAGTTCTACTTTGGCTTTCTCCACTAACTCTGGGGGTAGAGGACGTACTGCGACAGGCATACTGAAACTTTTTATTGATTTTCTTAATATAATGAAAATAGTTTCTTTTTTTTCGGTTCTAAATCGTGTAAATTTGTTTTTGTCAATCAAACAGTCAGCCGTGACCATAGGACCTATAACGGACTCGAAACATTGGTTTGTTTGAAAAAACTATACACGAAAAAAAAATGTACGCAAGATCTGAAAATATTGTTAATTTCCTATAGTAACAATCGCGAAAACCTAAACGGTCGATATTCTTAATATTCGTGTGTAAGTTAAAAGTTAACTGTGTAAGCAACAATTAAAAACACGTATTTTTCATTTCAATTTCTATGGGTTTCGCGATTGTATAGGAAATGAAACAATTTTTGTTTTGGATCTAATTCGTTGTCGCGATTTTGATCCGAAAAAAATTGTTTCATTTCCTACGCATTTTTCAATCGACTTTTCACATCTATTTTACTCAAGTAGCAAAAATATATCCTATAAATGTTTTGTTCAACGAGCAATGTTTGTAATGACCTAATAACAGTAAATGCTGTCCTAAAGATATCGCTTGAATAAAAATTGTTACACTTGCCATTATTCGGATACTATTATATGATGTAGATAACAAGTTGCTAATTCACTATAACTTGTATTTTTGCTTAGATAAAGATAGAGTTGCTTTGTCTCTACTTTTTAATGATAAGCCAGCTAATTAGTATTTCAGTCAAAATAAAGAAATAGTGTACTGTAGTCTAGGCTCTACTCTATGAGTAGAATCACTGGCTGAATGAATAGTTTTGTAATTAGAATGTGTTTTTGGAAAATGAAGTAATAAAAGAATAGAGCTTCTTGATATAACGTGATGTAACCAAAATAAGAAAATGTGTGAAAGAATACAATAAACCAAGTTTTGAAGATTATTCCACTTTAAATTTATAAAAGTACCTCTCGCTACGCATCCCAAGCTGCGCCCCAGTTACAGTACGTAGAAATTTTAAACCCTTCTTGTTAGCACAATTTGCAAATATTTATCTATATGACCCTAATTTTTGTTATGCAATCATTCTTCTAAGTATTAGAGATGTTAAGACCTTAGTATGTAATGATTGCATATACTACTTTTCCTGCGAGTGAGTGAAATAATTAAACACAAGCAATATTTAACTATATGTTGTTAACAAACCATAACAACAAACTCAAACGAAAGCCAAACAAACGCTACAAAACAAAAAACCAAAGAGATAAAATAGTAGTGTTTAGATAGAAGTGAAGTTTTTTTTAGAATACCATGTGACGGAACGAACAAGTCGTGCACCTGGTGGTAAGCGATACGCTTATCCATAGCAAATGCAACGCCACTTAGGCGCGTTCCCATTATGTTGTAACGTTTTATTTAGCGTTGGACAACTGTCGCTTCTTGCCTGTTCCCATATCACTACTATCTGTCATGACTGTGTCGTGGACGTTTATTTTATCGTTGAACGACTGACATTGAGTCAGCTCAGGGGTGGTACAACCTCTAGCGCGAAAGATTATCGTCTGTCTACCTTTGTCCCGCCTTCAGAGAGTCTTCCTTCTGGACACGAGTTGCCATGACTATCTAAATATCTTTAAATAGGCTGCCGCTTAAAACCGCTTTGAGATCATTTCACAGAGCTAAAAGGCTTCAGATTTATATAACTACCTTATTTTTAGGGTTAATAAACACACAATGAAAGGAACACCCAAATTTTTTATGATTCTTAAAATTCAAATACCGTGTTATTAAATACTTATTTACAGATTTTAAATAACTCACATTTCACTCTTTCCTTGTTTATAAAAAAAAATAGATTACTGCTTGGCTGACGTCTAGAGGTTTACTACTTATAAGAGGTTTACTAGTTTAAGTATAACGTATCATATCTTCTGATAAATATAATTAAATCTATTGATAATTCACTTGACAAGTAATCCCACTAATAGGATTAATATTTCTTTAACGTAATACGAGCATAAGTTTATTCATTGTGAGAAGTATCCTATGAGCTTAAGTGACTCCAAACGACACCCGTAGGGTGCGTTCCCTCGGCCCTGATGGCCCGTTTGTCAGACGATAATCGCCCTAAGGGTGTGTTCCCATTATTATATCCCAGTTACAGATAGTCGTGGCTTGTATATTTAAATGAAGTTGTTCACATATAGTAAAACACGATTAACTATCGTTCATGACTTTTTTTCGTTACGACGACAGACTGTCGTGACAATGGGAAGAGTTAGAACGACAGTCGTCTAACGATAAATAAAACGTCACGATAAAAAACGTGACGACAGATAGTCGCAGCTCCTATTGTCGTCACGTTTTATTTATCGTTGTCTGCACGTGTTCTGCTCTCTACTCTCCCCTTTCATACTTCTGTTCACACCACTGTTCTGTTTTTGAGGAAATCCTTCTATCTATCCTCCTACTTCTACCGGCTAGAATCCCACGGTGGCCTTCACGGGTGCTCTACGGGACTTTGCGCACCGGAACCCCTCCAGCACCTAGGAGGAGCTACCTCCTCCCCCTCCCCTCCTCACGACGAAGCGAGCCATACCGTCCCGTCGTCCACCTCGAGGCTGCCAATTTTACTGGCGAACGGAGCCCCCGCTCCGATAGCCCGCAACCGCGATGGGCCCTTCTCCTACCACGCTATTACCTATACGTATTTTCTTAACTAAGCATTTCATGCAACTACGTGAGCTAAGGTAAGTTAGATAACTTCGTTCGCGGTGTGGTTTGCGCTTTACAGCTTGGTGGCAGATATAGTTAAGGTGGCAATACTTCACTAGACGAACTCTTTAACGAGAAGCCTACTGCTACCAATTGCCTCTTACGGATTGCGAAACACTACAGAACATATACAAACACTACAGACACGCAGAATGTATATACGTTTTCTAAGGTCTCATCATTATGATTACATAAATTACAGCAACATTATGCATGTAATATATTATTATGTGTTTTAACTTGTCACAGTCATTTTATTGTCATTTTAATTCAAGTAATCGTTTTAACAAATACGAAACTTTAAAATGAAAACACAAACACATTTAAAAATCGCCGAGATAATTTAAAGACCGACTGAAAACATGTAATTACGTACATAAATATTTCATATAAATATCTCATATAAAAGTAGAAAATACTATACACAAACACAGAAAACATTTTATTGATAAAATATAATCCACTTTCTAAAGAATCACAAATAAATGTTATGTAACTACAAACCATCAAACAAAAGTATTTAATACATAGGGCGCACTATAAGTTTCCGGAACTGCAGGTCGATTTAGAATCTTACGATAACTCTGTTATCGCCCGATTCGATTAGATATCACACGATTTCCTTTCATTTTTATTCACAATAACCGAATCGAACGTCAAACTATCGTATTCGAAACCGAACCGAAATGACGTCACACCCGTACGATAACTCATACTTCTCGACCGGCAAGCGCTACAAACGTTATTCAGAACACAGTTATTGAATGAAAGTTACCGAATGTCCTATTGTTTACTAAGCAAGAATGTAATATGATCAAAAATCTGGATTTTGTCTATTTTAATGCAACTAGATTGATGCATTCCTATATTTTAGGCCTTTATAGTCTAAAAATATATATAAAAGGATTTATTTTTTTATAATATATACTCGCCGACTAACTCCATAAACGTTGTTGGATAACGATATCGTATCCGAATCCGAATCGAACGTTTTAACTCGAATGTTCTGAATAGCTCGGAAAGCGTCCTTCGATTCGAGAACGATATCCAATCGAACGACTCGGTTAAGATATCGAAGAGTTCTGGATCGGGGTCCTGGCCACTTACATATACAATATTTAAAAAGTAATTACAACATTTGAAAATGAAATTCTTTGGCTGTAGAATGTATTCTACAGCATGATGATTGATTGAAGATGAAACAAACTGTAGTTTGTTTCATCTGACTGTAACTTGTTTTTGCATTGTGGCGTCATTTTAGACATCAGTCCCGACCTGGCACCTTGTAACTTTTATTTATTTCCAAAAATTAAGAACCAGTTACGCCGTCAACGATTTTCATCACCTGAAGAGGCAGTCGAAGAGTATGAAAAATATCTTTCAGAGATTGATTGACACGGAGGACTGGCATAAATGTTTTCAAAATTGGTTCATTCGTATGAAAAAGTGCATTAACGCTAACGGAGATTACTTTGAGAAACAACAAATTCATTTCTGACCATTTATAGTATTTTTTTCTTATTCATTCCCGAAACTTATAGTGCGCCTCACGTAATATTAATATGTCACAAGTGTACTGAACAGAAAAAAATAGAAAGCTATTTCTGAAACGTTTATTAAAAATATAAGTAAAACTCCACAGGCGGTATTAGCTAATCCACCTGGAGCTGTCTGAAAGATCCTTCAACGCCAAACATATCTTCACTTGTCTTCGGCTTTCCTGGCCTCTTAGATTCGTCAGTGCCGTATTTTTCTTCTTCATCCAGCCATTCTCTGTATTCTTCTATTTTCTTTACCCAGTAATCTGAAAAGGACATATCCTTCAACAAAAATCGCTCAAATAATAAAATATGTAAGTAAATTTTTGGTTCGATCAAATTCTCTTTTTTTATTTATAGTTTTAAAAGCGATATTCTTTATAATTTGAGATTTATTTACCGGTTATTTCTTGTATAGTGCCTCCATTTCCTCCATACTCTACAGGTAGGATATCTTTCGATACGTGCTCGTACAGCGGCTCGAAATCTTTCCCATGAACATGCAACTAAAAAGTAAGATGCGACAATTTTTATCTAACACTGACACTACTGCTACAAATAAACATTGTTATCGTCAACGAAATATTTAACATTGCATACATTAGAAGCCATGAGTACAGAGTGACCTTCAATAATCTGCGAGATATTCAAGAAGTGATTGTGAAAATCTACTGTTCTATATACTTTTGACCTCCCTTTCGAGTTCACTCTATATAAAAAAATAACTTTAGAAATCCTTACTCGATTCCTGTTTTTTTCATTAAGCAGCGATTTCATAAGGTTGAAAATGGTCTCGACAGACGAAGGCATATGAAAATAATGAACTGCTTTCATCCTCATAGGTGCTGCATCCTAAACCAAAATTACTTAATTATATTCACATATCACCCAATATGCAGGCATGCCAGTATGTTTGATAACCCTTTGTTAATTCACTTACCTGAGTAGCAACTATCATTTTTTTCGCCAACAAAGGTGTCATATGACTAAAATGAGATATACTTGCACCCTTCATATCCATTATGTTCACAACACCGTTCACTGTAAAAATATCGTCTTCCATGTACATTATCTGTAACACATATCCATAATTCTTTAATAAAATCTTGGAACAAAGGAAGTTTCTCCCAGCATAAGAAATAAAGATAAAGATAAAGAAAATACCATGTATTTAAAAGAATCGCTGACCTTTTGCAAAGTGTTTCCAACGCACATAATTTCAGGCATGGTAAACTGAGCAGGAGAAAAGGCCGCAACTCTGAATATCAGTACTCTAGGATCCGTCAAATTCTTTGACTTTGGGAAGGATAACAATATTCTAAAACATAAAGGCAGTCCGTAAATACAGAGTGTAAAAAAAACAATTCAAGGACATACTCCCAAGCAAAGCACAATTAACTAATAGCAGTATTCGTACAGAAACTGGAAAATGTTGACAAATCGGATCTGGATTTCATGAGAAAAGTTCAGTGTCATGAGTTCATTCTTTTTATATAATGTCACTTATCAATTGTTTATTATTAATTATTACGACGTATGCGGACGTGACCGGACCCAGTATTACTTACGACCAAGTAAATTACAACAAGTTGTCAAATTTCCTAGTACCTTACTGTCCTCAGGTATACAACATAACCTAGTAATATTTACTATAACAGCTATAATTATATACATACCCCTTCTTAAGGATTTCCATGAACTTAGGATGTCTATGGTTAATCAACTGAAATTCGGGTATAAGAGATTTTAGCGAATAGTAAAGGTCGAGTTTCTCTTTCGCTCGTTCCAAGCTGAACTTGCTTCCTCGGAGAAACGCAGTCAGCCATTGATCCTCTTGAAACAAAGAACAATTAGAAAACAATCATCAAAAAGTTTTTAACAACGCTAGAGAAAAATGGGCAGGGACAACACAGTAGTGAAAATATCTGTCTGTCTTGTAAACATCATCGCCACCGTGCTGACCATTCGAACGTCACGTTTCAAACGTCTACATTGGCTAAACTCCCTTTCCTCTGATTGATACAACACAAGAAGTAAAAAGTGTGTAAGTTCACAGTCTACAAAGAACCATTTTAAAATAATGCTTTCTGTAAACGACGTTACCTGTTCTAGCTTTCAAATGCGGTTGTTTAGCGATCCATTCTTTAAGATGCTGTATGCTGTCTTCAAGCTTCTTTGGGTCTTCGAACAGTTCTATTTTGGCTTTCTCCGCCAACTCTGGAGGTAGAGGACGTACTGCGACAGGCATACTGAAATTTAATTAGTATCCTTATTTAATTCATATTCAGTTGTACGTTGCGCATAAGTAAAATTTAAAAACCCTAATTCCAATCGACCTTTCCGCCTATTCTATCCAACTAGCAAAAATATATAACGTCGCCTACTTTGTCAAACTCGTATCTTAAAATGAGTGATTGTTCAGGAGAAGGAAAAACGTCAAAGTTTTATTACACATTGAGGACTTTAATTTGGATGCAATATTTTAAGAATCGGTATAAACTATACATTTAGATATAGTTGTGTGAAATCACCTGCAATTTAGTATATAAAACGCATTTTTTAATATACGAGTTTGCTGAATTGTGGTATCTGTTAATTTCAGTTACTTTTGTGCTTAAGTTGCGTGTTTGCTGCTTTCAAATTACCACAATTAACTGTAATTTCTTGATTTAATAATTAAATTAAACAATCGATTTTGTTAATGTAACTTAATATTTATTACGTAGGTAATACAGATAAACATATAAAGAAATTAGGTGCGTTAATTAAGTTCGTAATAGAGTCCATCACTCGTGAGGCAAATCATTATAAAAACTATGATAGTCTGCAGAAATCATACGTTTCAAATCTTGTAAATCGTTACATTTTGTGCAGGGTGTTTGTTCGTCGAGACAACGTACCGGCGCTTTTACTTGCCTAAGCGATATCATTGCAATCACTTACGCTTTTTTTTCTTCCCATGTCTGAGACCAAAAAGCATCAAAGATGTTCTTTCTCTTTTCTTCTGTAATTTCGTTTCATTGATTACCAAATTATCTTGCACACGTTTCAGAATGACATCTGGATTGTAAAGTTCTTGCTATTCTTATTTCCGTTCCTAAAGTGCCTTCATTTTTTTTTTCTTTTAATTGTTTAATATTCTTGTCCGCGCATTCTCTTACGTTTTAGTCTATTCCTTGTCCAGTTTTATTTATTTCCTTGACCTTTTCATTTTGATAAGTCCAGATGATTCGTCCAACTGTTTAATATGCATGTCCATCGCTAGATGTCTGTGAGTCTAACACACACGGGTCATATTCGCTTACACTTATTGAAAAATCAGATTGAGATGAAAGTCTCCATGTGTCGTGATCATTTACTGGAATCAATTCTCCAGTTTTTTCGTCTAAAACAACATTAATTTGCTGCTGTGCTTGGCGTGATTCTTGGCATGGATCTTTTCTAAAAATTAATGAATGAATCCATTGAATCCAATTTTTCGTCTAGAATACCGTATTTGTCTTCTAGAATAGTGATGGATGAACGATTGCTTGGATCTATATCAATACTATGACCAGGAGTTTCTACTCAGTAACGGTCTTAGTTGCCGCAGAATCACAAAACTAAATTCACAAGTCTCTTGCCCCGTAAAAACTGCATCTGAAATAAAGTAAACATTATTTTATATATTTGATTTTATATATTTATAATTTTTGGAGTGCATGTAAGGAGCCTCCCCGCACGACGTACTATTCCTTTCCTGTAACCAGGGCAACAATCGGCAAGTACCTAACGCCGATTAGTAAAATCTTTTCACCACAATGGCAAGCGTTATAGTGTATGCCATCCATTCGATGATAATAATAATAAATAGGATTTTTAATTCCATCTAATTAGTAAGTACGAGTATATTCAGTATAAATATACTCGTACGCTCTATGAAGACGCTCGTCTATGAACCTTACTTTTCCTTAATTGTAACTTCTAATTATTTGAAATGGGTAAAATAGAGAATGATAAATAGGAAGACAAAAAAACGTAATTTATCAGTAGGTACGTATCAAAATTGAATAGTGTCACAGATGTATAAATACTTGAGGAATTTGGCGCCAAAATTCAAGAGGTTATTCTTAGCTAACTGTTCTCTATCTGTAGTATAGTATTGCTATGAAAACAAAAAGTGCTTATTCTAGTTGCTACGCACAAAAACTTTCTGATGTAAATTGTCTAAATAATTTAATTTATACACATTAGATATTTTTTTGATAATAAGACTCAATGTGGGTAGGCACCTCACTGAATGTATTTACGTGCATAGATTTATGCTGCCAATAAGTATAACAAAGTAATATAAAAACTCACCATTCGAAGCGAATATTATCCAACTGTGAAATTGATAAAAATTCACTTTTTCCACAAAAGTTTTAAAAAAAGTTAAAAAAGTTTCAAGTTTATAAATTAACCAAAATGATAGCCGTTTTTGTAAAAAAAAACTTGTCAACAATCACTAAATAATGTTATGAAAGAAAGCAAGAAAGAATCGTATCTTAAGTTATGAGTTTGTTGCAGTTATCACGATTGGGCGAAAGAGATACAATGTATAGTTTTAATCCATAATTAGAACATACGAGTGTATGAACATACGAGTTTTTGCAGTTATGTATTAAAGTATAAGCTATCGATTGACGTAAAAAAGTAAGAAATCATTTTTTCAAGATACGAGTTTGAGAAAGTAACGCGGCAATATGGCGATAAGTCAAATAATATGTTGTCAGATAATATGTTTTGTTCATGTAATAACGATATCTTTAGGAGTGCATTATTTCTAATGTACTCCTAAATATATCACTTAAATAAAAATTGTGACGTTGTTTTATACGTCGGTTTATACGTGAGGCGCACTATAAGTTTCGGAATGAATAAGAAAAAATACTATAAATGGTCAGAAATTAATTTATTGTTTCTCAAAATATTCTCGGTTAGCGTTAATGCACTTTTTCATACGAATGAACCAATATTGAAAACATTTACGCCACTCCTCCGTGACAATCTCTGAAATATATTTTTCGTACTCTTCGACAGCCTCTTCAGGTGACGAAAATCGTTGGCCGCGTAACTGATTTTTAGATGTTGGAAATAAATAAAAGTCACAAGGTGCCAGATCGGGACTGTATGCGGGATGGCTCATAAGGTCAACGTTGTTCACCTTTAAAGATTCATTTGTCTGTCTGGCCGTGTGAATGCGGTTATTTTTACGAAGTTTGTCAATAACTTCCGGCAAACAAATGGTCGTGTACCATTCACTATTCACGGCACAACGATTCTCCAAAGTAATAGTAGCCATGTGTCCAGTTTTATCAAAAAAAAGCTTGGTTTCGGCTCATCTTGAAAGACCCATGCGCTTGATTGCGGCTTTGTTTTGGGATCGTAACTATAAATCCATGTTTCGTCACCTGTTACTATGTCCCACACCAAATTTGACGCCCCTTCGTTGAATCTGGTAAGCATGGCATTACACCCTGGTGCAATGCGTGACGCGATCCGTTTTTTGAGCCTCAGTCAAATTGTTTTAAATTATTATAACAAATGATTAATTATTATAACAAACGAGTGGAATAATTTCACAAAAAATAATTGAATATCAATTCAATAAAAATTTAAAATACAGTGAATAGCGACATCTCTCGCCAGGGCTGGTAACTGTAAAGATATCTAACTGGGTGATTAAACTTTCATAGATTTCTCATAGATGGCGCTACTACTAAAAAGTCATAGAAAAAACCAAATACAAAGATACGACGCAAGCACATAGAAAAATTCATGAGGTCCGCTGGTTCGTTCCGTGGCTTAGTTGGTATAGCGTCCATATATTAACCTACGACAATAATAAAAATGTCACAAGTTATAAATTAAATTTGCCAAGAATTATTAAAATCAAGATAAAATTTTACATCTTATTGATCTTATCGAGTTCTTAGGTTTTCGCGATTGTTACACATAGGAAATGAAACTATTTTTCCGGATTTAAATCGCGTATATTTGTTTTTTCAAACAAACCGTGTCAACCGTGACCATGGAACCTGTAAAGGGCCCGAAACGTCGGTTTGTTTGAAAAAACAAATATACGCGATTTAAATCCGGAAAAATAGTTTAATTTCCTATCTTATTGCCTGTCAAATAATTCGTTTACGTCATAAAAAATATTTTCATTTAACCACCTACTTAACTTCGTTTTAAACAAACACGAGTCTAATATTTCAATCTCGAGCTCTCCACACGTTGGTCGCTGCCAGTTTTGTTTTAAGGAACTGAGAATGCCTAGTAATGGACCATTTTAATGAAAATTAAATATTAAGTTATTTACCGATAAATGTAATAATGGATTTGCATTATCATGTAATATAGCATATAACATTTAAATTTCTATTAAAATTTGACTCTTCAAAATGGAGCGAACAAACGAAGATGGTATTTGATCCAATGCTTATGTTCGGCAGTTCTATAATTTCCAACCATTCTTTCTTTGTTTTTTCATTTGTAGGTAAACTTTAAAAAGAAAAATAATAATAATGAAAAAAATAAAAACCTCGTAGTTAATTGTTTTAATAACAGAATATCGATAATATGTCTGCTTGCAAGAACAACACTATCTCAAACTAATCGTTATCAACAATCATCAAAATATATTAACAAACAGGCAGTCTAAAGTAACCAAAGCAAAATTCGTCAAGACTTATGAATAAACTACTTAAATTAGTCTAATTACACGAGATATTTGGGCTATTGTATGATTTATAGACAGAAAAAAAATCATAAAGCATGGCCGTACTATAAGAAAAACGAAAAATATAAAGTACATATATGAGTACATACTTACATACAATACACATAAATTACAAAAGCCATTGACTTACAAATAAATGGACGACGGGTCTAATACAAAAACCACGAAAAAAATGTCCCAAGTCAACCTATTTAAACGTAGTGACATGCAAAGGAATATGAAAAAGCTAAAACGTTGAATTTAAATTGTAATGTCATCGCAGTACTGTCTAATTTTGCTTGCTTCGCTGTCAGTCGAACAAACGATGACTAGAGCGTGAATGACGCTCTGTATACGATTTTAACGCCCTATAAGTTCGGACACTTTTTAGCGCGGACCCGGCGTCCATATAATTGTAAGTCAATGATTACTTTAGAAATATTACAAAACAAACTAACTTAATCTTTTCTTTGTAATCCCCTGATTGCATTAATGGTTTTGTTATAAATTGGTTTCAGGAGTAGAAAAAATAATTTTATTTTGCTGGTTATATACCATAATATAAATTAGATTTTAAAAAACCGCATTAAAATTAGTCCAACCGTTTCAGAGCTACAAGGCCACAGATAAGCACATACACATACATAT